ACCGAATTAAAGTGGGGGTTGGCTCGAGGTTAGAGTTCGACGTCACTAGGGTATGCGTTAGGGTTCGAGCTCCGCTGGGTTTGCGTTGAGTTTCACAGCATGACAATTGGGTTTGGCTTGACATTGGAGTTCGATGTCGCCAGAGTTGGGGTTCGGCCTCGAGTTCGTCGAGGTTGAGGCTGGGGTTGAGATTCGAAGTTGCTTGGGTTTTGATTGGGTGTTTTGGTCACTCAGATTTGAGATTCAAGGTCACTGGGTTGGATTTCAAGCTTGAGGTCAGGTCATGCATGCTGGGTTAAAGATCTTCGAAGCTGAATAGAAGGATGGAGGATTGGGGTTGGAGAGACGAAGGTGATTAAGCTCGAACAATGGTGGATAGTCACTGGTACAAGGTCACAAAGAGGGAGTAAAATTGTGAGCGGGAAGGTGAATTTGGGAGGGTTGTCGGCATGAAGAACACAAAATTTTGGAGGATTATCGGTGCGAAGAAGATGAAAGTTGGGAGGGTAACGAGAGGGAGTGAAAATTAGATACTAATTAGAATAATTAAAAAAATTAAAAAATTAAATTAAATAATAAAAAAGTAAATTAAATAATAAATTGGCTGAAATAGTAAGCTGATTTATTGTGACCGAAAATTTAGTTACTATTTCGAGTTACTAAATTAAAAAATAATAATTCGGTTATTGATTCGAGTCACTAATATAGTAACTAACTTTTTCGATCACCGATTTTGGTTACTATTTGATATTTTTCTAGTAGTGATATTTACACGGATATATATTTATTTGTATATAAATATAATTTATTTGTAAGTTATTATCAAAAAATTCAAGTAGTTTAGTGGTTGGAGTATCGACCTCCAACTCTAAAGTATCTGGGTTCGAATCCTCGCTAATGACAATTCTCTTAAAACTTAAGAGATAAAGGACCTAATAAAAATATAATATGAAGAGAGGGGAGACTTCTAGATAAATAAAAGGGGTAAAGGGGTTGTAAATAAATAAAAATTATTAATTTAAAAAATCATACTTTCAACGTCGGTTTACTAGAACCGACGTTGAAAGTTACGATTTTCAACGTCGTCTGATACAACGTCGGTTATTAAACCGACGTTGAAAGCTTTATTTGTAGACTTGTTTAATCTTATCAAATTGCATTATTTTCTTTTACTCAGAAGCTTCCAAGTTGCACAGTTAAGTATTTCACTCTTCCTTCTTCCTTGATATCACCTACCATTTCCGTTCTTTAAGTTGACCAAAACTGGAAGCTGTGGCAGTGTTTCATTTTAGACTTTATGTCCAACACAAACACTACCTAGCTATGATTTCTCGCAGCCTCATCTCACCTCAATTATCGATTCAAAGTCGAAATTCAGCTAAGGAAAGACAAGACATCTAGAAGAGAATAAAAGCTAGCGTGTGGTGAAGACTTTTTATCATGAGCCTTTGTGGGAATTGACAACCTATTTTTTCGGTCAAACCGAAAGCTATTTGTAGTAAAAATTACTTATAATTTGGTTGATTGAGTTTCGTAGTAAAAAATTTATCAACAATAACTTGGACGACATGAATAGAATCACTGTCGGTGCATATAAAAAAATTAATAAAAAAAAAATACTAGATGCCAATTGAAATGATTTTATTTTGGACGGAGATTTTGAAAATGTAGAAGAAGTATCTTATCCCTACCAATTACTTTATCAAACCAGAACAATATCTTAGTACATTTGTTTTCCACGGATATTGTAATGTTTACTAATCTCACATGCATAATCTTTATATTTCGTTTTTTTTTCTCACTACTTTGGGTGGAAACAAAGGAATATTGGTGAAGGTTGAAATGTGTGATAAGAAGAAAATTATAATTTGAATAAATTTAGATGTTGAAATGTGATTGGCTCAAATCAAGCCAATCAGTGAAGGGCTTATTATTTGCTTTGAGTGTGGGAAAAAATTACATAAATATTATAATTCAATTCAAAATTAGTGTAATTATATCATATTAACCTTGATTAATTAGTCAATAATATTAATTATTTGACTATTAGAATTTTTTACATTTCATGTAATTTTTATATAAAAAATCACATCAAATAAAATTTTAATAGGTTTTTCTATAAATAAAATTCACTAAATATGAAAAATCACAAAAAAATTCACATATATAATTTTTTTCATTATTTCTTATTCGTTTTTCTCTCAACTCTTATACTGTTATACAAAGAAAAATAAGTAGGGCAAACATAATTTTTTTTTCTTTTTGTCATCATAGGTCTAATTTTTCACTTTGTAAGAGTGCTTTGGGCATAATTCACATGCCAGATTTTGCTTGTTTAGTTAGGTTTCTGTGACTGCATGACCACCAAAAATACTGCCACGTAAACTGTATTTGTTGGCAAAATTTGATAACAAAAATTGAAACAAATCGATTTGGAAAGAAAGATAGATAAAGGCACTAAACTGTATGAAACACTAAATGAATTTAAGATGTTGTTTATATATTTATTATTTATTAGTAGTATATTATTTCACTCCACAGAATCAACTATGAAGATCTTCAGGGATATCCTTGAAATTGATACTGTGGTTGCAATCTTCCCCACCTTCTGATTCACCATCTACCCTCTCTCTTTTTTTCTCTCGGAGTTTGTCTTTCTTGCAAAAACCCTATTACTTGCCTGTTTGAGTTTCGGTAGCTATGGACCACATAGGAAAAGATCCGCAAGTAATCTATGCCCTATTCCCACCAATGTGAATGTAGAATAAAGTAGAGTATCATCATTTTTTAATCAATGCCCACTTTTATAGGCATGTCATCATAACCAACTCTGTAATCTAATCAGTTTTCAGTTTTACCTCTTAATTGGTCGCATTCGCATCAAAACATATTCAATTTGGGTTTTTTTATCATTTTTTAAAATCAGAATTAGGACAAATTCTGTTGAATAAATAACAAAAAACATATATTCCCTAAATACTAATAAAAGTTTTGCAATGGGAGCTGATAATCATGCATGAAACATTGGTAGTCTCAAGAAAAGGTGAACACTCATCATAACGATTCAGTGTGGTCTTTATTAGTATTAAAAAAAAAGTACCTTAATGAATTAGTGAAAGACTTAGTAAAATATTTAAAATAATAATAATAATAAATATATAAATATAATTAAAATTTTAAATTATTTTCCAACATGACCTTGTCTCTCCACACACTTCTCTTGCTGTGTATACCCACAGCACCATGTTCACACCCTCCCCTTTTGACCCAATCCTTAATGAGTGTTTCTTTTTCTGGAGTCTCTCGTGTGTTTGTCTGTCAACGCATTGCTGCTACGACAATACGTTATACACTCAGCACAAATTTTTAAATATAGATATCTACTTGTCACGATCTTCATTTTGAACAGGTTTATCATATCTATATTATTTGAAAAATTCAAATCATATATTAGGGTTTCGCTGCAACATACTCTAGATATTTCTCTATTTTCACCTTTCTCATGTATTAGGATTTAGCTGCAACATGTCAAGAGCTCAATTGCTTTATTTTTTTTTTTTCATGAAAAATATTGTTGTAGAATATTACTTCAAGAAGTTTTTAGTGTATTTACTTAAGATGAAGTCCATTTTTATAATTTGAGAAGGTGTTTTCAATAAGTTTTAAACAGAAGAAAAATTTAAGACGGCTTTTCAAATAAAAAGTGGTTTTCGTATTTATACAAAATAAAAATTATTTGTATTTTTTGACAAAAGTAGCTCAAAGTAAACCCCTTGATTTTTATAACTGGTCGGAATTGCTTTTTTTTTATTAATAATAAAAAATAAAAACAAACCAACCAAAGTCAACCATAGTGATTTGTTTAACTTCATTAGTGCTCCAAGTCAATGCCAAGTGATGAAAGGGAAAATTATAGGGAATTAAAGACAAGTGTCAATTTCTGGCTTCCATTTTTTCGTTGAGTTCAATAGGGTGTCAGATTGCATTAATTTTTACCAAGAAGGTTCCGACAAGATCCTACGCCACGTGAATGTGTCGAATATTAACATATGCAAAATTAGTTAGTTAACAAGTAATTAACATATGTCACAAGGAGTGTTCATATAACAATTGTTGTTGAATAAAAAGATTTATTTCATGTTTGAAATATAGGTAATGATTAATATTGATTCAAATAGTGTAAGTGTAATAATCTTAAATTGATGTTGTTATAATTTTGTGATGAGTTTCCAACATGTACTGAATTTTTATCAAACATATTTTTTTTTTAATTTGGTAGCTAAGTTACTGGAAAAGCTTATGTATATTTATGAACTAATTGATATGAATGTATTGTATATATTTTAATGTCACAAATCAATAATAAAAGATAGACATTCCACTCGTAAATTTCACAAGTTCTTATAAAATTTAAATGAATTAGTCTTAATTGTAGTTTTAGTTCGAATATTTATAGAAATTATATTTATTTGTTTTTTAAACCACGTATACGAATCAATACGTGCAGCATGATGATGACGTTCTGTTTCCTGGGATGGGGCGGGTGACCACAAAAAGTTTCGTGGATATCCCAAAAAAACGAAATGTGCACATTCCAAACAAAACTTTATCTTTTACCTTTTACCTTTTGCGAATTTCGATGATGACCCACACGTTTTTTCTTATGTCGGAACATGTAAGATTATGCCGTGTGATGTGATTCATGTCCAACGTCGCACGATTCTGTCAGATTTGCCAGTTTCCGATTATCTGAAACTGAATTCGAATATACTCTGTTTCTCTGCTCATCACATCACATGGACCAACAGCTAGTACTCTCTTATCAGAAAAGGTATTTCGATCACATCTAATGTATTTGTCTGTGATTTTTCATAAAATTAGGTATATTATAATCGCCACTGCAACCTTACTTTAAAACTTTGCTTCCAAAGGGAAGAAAGAGAGAAAATTTAAGGATGGAATGTGAAAGATTGGAAATATATACAAGCACTGAAACTAAATCAAGCGACAAAAGAAAAAAAGTAGAAATAAAGAGCATTCTCCGAGATCTTGATCACAGCCAGGATGATAGTGCAGAAGGGAGAATCAGAGAGCTTCTGACTGCAAAGACATGCGTTGGTCTTAATTTCTTCTTCAATTGGGATTTTTTAGGAATCATCTTTTCTTTGGACTACTTGGGTTTCTTCCTTGAATCACACGAAAACAAACGAAGGAGAAAATGAAACAGGGACTCAAAAACCATTCTCTTGACGGATTTCCTTGGAGCCGGAATTACTGTTGCAAACGCTTTCCTCTTGTTCTTCACCTTTGTCCCGAACTTGTTACTCACTCCTGCACCTTGATTCTTCCCCATCGCCCTCTCTCTTACTCTGCTCTCATACTCTCTCAACTTGTTTTTCTGTGTGTTTGGTGATCAATGCACTGCTTACGTACGTGTATAAATAAAGCAGAGGGTGCTCCAGTTATGGACCAAGAGGAAAAGATCGCGAAGTATCCTCGAAAAGTTTCGATTATACTAATATTGCCGAGTAAATTTCTAGTTTACTTTAAGTAGGGTCACAAATGCGCACGTTCAGTGTGAATGTTGGAAAAAAGGAACAGAGTCTGTGTTTTTCAATCATTCTCATGTCTAGTCTCGTTAACCAATGCCCAATTTCAATACTTCTTCAGTTTCCTCATCTTTTGGTTGCAGGCGCATCAAATTTTGTTTGTACTCTGGTCCTCATCAAGTTTGGTATACTATAACACGAGATGTTGATAAGATTTTTTATGATGTTTGAGTATTAGAAAATTATCTGTTTATTTAACTTGGATGTTTAGTTTATACTGTTTATTATCTGGTTGGATGTGAATTTTTTTCTTGATTAACAATTTATTATTTTCTTTTATCAGACTTTTGGCTGATTGTAGTTTGGTGAAACTTCATAGCATCTATTAATTATTCATTTCTTTTATGGTCTTGTCAATCTACGTGCTCCCCAGAAAATCATATTTTGAAGCAAAACATAGAAGTTAAGCCATATATGGGTTGTCAGCAACTTAGTGATCTACAACAATTCTACTTAAAAGAAGAAATTATAATCAAACATGTCATACGTTTGTTTTAGATGGACCTGCAGGAAATGACCAAATGACAATCTTAGCATGAAAATGATTTAGATGTGATCTCTGCTTTAAATCAATTTGGGGACCACTTTTCATTTTCACTGTCTATTCGACGAACAAGCATAGTTTTGGACTTTGTTGAAAGAAGAAACAAAGGACCAAGGAAACATCCAACAATAATGGTTCCAGTAATTACTAAAAGTTAAGTTTCCAAGTAAGTGCTAACAAAATGAGTGTATTATTTTATTATGCAGGCTAAGTTGGTTGTCCAAGCATCACTAACAACGTGTGGTTAATAGCTAGCTCTAGGGTATTATCAGTTTGTGGTGCATATATACATCAATATGAATTTACCAAATACAATTTTTTAATTCCGTGCATACGTGCGACAGCAAATGGAATCTCTACTTAGCACGAATTCAAGTTGGCTCCGTCAAGAAAGGGAGAGATTTAATAAAAAAAATCAACAAAGCAGAAGTAATTAATGTGTTAAACTGAAAATCGAATAGTTAAATATTTTTGACAAAGATGCTTTTGCTCACTTTTAGTTATATTTGGTGGAACCTTATTAATTTAAGGCATTTAATATATTGATAGATATGTCCATGTACTAAAGATTATATAGCAGATAAAGGATAAAGGGATAGGTATTAAAATAATTGAATTAATGGAAGAATATCATAGTAATTGTCTTGATGAGGAAGAGGCGGCTGCAGGTGGGTGCTTCTACTGCTACGAATAAAGACAGAGCCAGTAGACAGTGCCAATTTGAGAAAAAAAAAAAAAAACACGCGTCATATCCATAAAGAACGCCTAAAATATGAAAATGTAATTTGATTACACACGAGAAATTTGATGCATTCCAAGAAAAAAACCCAACTCATTCTCTTTCTCACCCTCACCCTCGTATATTTCAAGCATTTTCTTCTTCTTTCCACCTTACGTTTGACATTTTGTCTCACCCACGCTCATCGTCACCTCTCTCCATCTCTTTCTCACCTTCACGCTCCCACAACTTCACATTGTGTATGGTTCTTCTTCTTCTTCGCACATCTTACACCTCTCACATACTAATATCATAATAGATCTTTTTGTCCCACGGTCTTTACTCTCATTTTTTTTTTTCAATCTCACAATTGTGGTTTTTTTTATTTTAACTAATTAAATCCATAAATTTTCTTCGGAGAAAAGACTCTTCCTATTCATATCACTAAAAATATAACAATAAACGAAAAATTCTCTTCATCTTTAATCTTTAATATATCTTTTTTCTTTTAAATTTTCAAGAGTCCTATCTAAATCTTGTTTTTATAAAATTACTAAAAAATACTTCTATTTTATAGTCCACCACCTTTTTTTTTTTTAAGAAAAGAGTCTTGGACCCAAGTCTTTGAAGCATAGACAATTCATAAGTAAGAGAAGATTAACCCATGAGGGAAGATAAGGTCAACCATTGACCTTCTAGATAAGAAAGATCAGAGTCTTGGAAGGCAAGACAAGAGGTACTTCCTTTTAGGTTAAAATTAGGGCAACATATTCATAACTCATATTTTGTACACACTTTTATAGTTTAATTACATCTCTTAAGTTTTTTTTTCTCCTTTATTCATTACATTTAACATATATTTATATTTTCTATAATAAATAGGAGATTTTGTAAATATGTACTATCTATTGTATTTTTGTATTTTTTAGCATTAACCTTTCACTACTACAAAATATACTTTCTACGTCGTCATTTAACGTCGCTTATAGCTGAGACGACGTAGAAAGTACTTTCCACGTCGGTTCCGGATGAACCGACGTTGAAAGTTGAATATTAAACACATTCTACGTCGGTTCTTAGTCAACCGACGTAGAAAGTACTTTTACGTCGGTTCCCATATGAACCGACGATGAAAGTTTTTTTTTATTTTTTTTAGTTATTGACACTTTCCACGCTCGGTTCCCATATGAACCGAACGTGGAAAGTCGTTTTTTTTTTTTTTCACCCAAAAATTTGAAAATTGTCACTACCAGGATTCGAACTCGGGATTTTAGAATTGGAAACTAATACTCTAACCACTAAATTATAACTTACAAATAAATTATATTTATATACAAATAAATATATATCCATGTAAATATATATTTATTTGTATATATTTTCTGGAAAGTATTTTTATTTTTTTTTCAACCAAAAATTCACTTAAGTTAATGAATTGTCACTGACAACGATTTGAACCCGAGTATTTTAGGGTTGTAAGTTAATATCCCAACCACTAAACTACTACAATTTTTTGATAATAACTTACAAATAAATTATATTGGTATTTTTTGACCGAGGGTGAAAGTGTGATTGACTCTCGCTTGAGTGAAAATATGTTAAAGCTCACGGAAATTCACTCACTCAAGTCTCGCTTGAGCAAAAATTGGTATTTTTCGCTTGAGAGCGAATAACGCGTTTCCCAATTTTATTTTATATTATTATATAAATAAAATTATAAAGATTATATTATGTCATTAAATTACAAACTCATATAAAGATACCTGCTCACAAATTTAGCATCAAATTTTGAAAACCTAATCGACACACTTTCACTTTCGAGTGTACCCTCACATTCAACATATAAATATATAACTATATAAATATATCAAAATATATAAATATATTTGTATTTATATATTTATATATTTACACGGATATATATTTATTTGTATATAAATATAATTTATTTGTAAGTTATTATCGAAAAATTCCGAGTAGTTTGGTGGTTGGAGTATCGACCTCCAACTCTAAACTACTGGGTTCGAATCTCGTCAATGACAATTCTCTTAAAAAATTAATAAATTTCTAAAATATATAATATAAAGAGATGGAGGACCTAATAAAAATATAATATAAAGAGAGGGGAGACTTCTAAATAAATAAAGGGGGTAAAGGGGTTGTAAATAAATAAAAATTATTAATTTAAAAAATTATACTTTCAACGTCGGTTCTAATTGAAAGCCTTCCGTAACCGACGTTGAAGGCTTTATTTGTAGTAGTGTTTGTTTATTATTTTATTTGACGTTATTTTTTGTTGATTCAAGCTGCATTGAAATCTTCATTTTCAAGACTATGAAATGGATATAGTATTTGATGAATTTAGATTTTTGTGTTATTTTTTACTATTTTTAAAATTTGTTGTAGATTTGCTGAAATTTTATAAAGAATCAATGCAATTTGATTTTCATTTGTATTAGTTTATCTTTTGTAATTTGACTTATATACATGTTGGTGGGAAAATTTGATACATGAATCAAAAAGTGGATAGAAGACATTCGATGACCCTATTGGGGTAAAAAATCGACAAAATTGAAGTATCGAGTGTCAAGTTAAAATTGAAAGAGATCAGAGTCATCATGAATTTCAAGTATTCGATTTCTGGGATTGAAATTGAATGAAGCATTTATCTCTGCACATGGGAATTGAAAGTTACGGACTTTCAACGTCGCCTGATACAACGTCGGTTCAACAACCAACGTTGAAAGCCTTCCAGAACCGACGTTGAAGGCTTTATTTGTAGTAGTGTTTGTTTATTATTTTATTTGACGTTATTTTTTGTTGATTCAAGCTGCATTGAAATCTTCATTTTCAAGACTATGAAATGGATATAGTATTTGATGAATTTAGATTTTTGTGTTATTTTTTACTATTTTTAAAATTTGTTGTAGATTTGCTGAAATTTTATAAAGAATCAATGCAATTTGATTTTCATTTGTATTAGTTTATCTTTTGTAATTTGACTTATATACATGTTGGTGGGAAAATTTGATACATGAATCAAAAAGTGGATAGAAGACATTCGATGACCCTATTGGGGTAAAAAATCGACAAAATTGAAGTATCGAGTGTCAAGTTAAAATTGAAAGAGATCAGAGTCATCATGAATTTCAAGTATTCGATTTCTGGGATTGAAATTGAATGAAGCATTTATCTCTGCACATGGGAATATTGGGTAGTGGTTTTTAACCGTTTTAGGTGGTTATGTTAAGAAGGTTATAAATAGAACTAAGCGCTGGAGGTTAGAGGAGATCATTTTGACTTTCGAAATTTCTGGTGCGAGTCTATGGGAGAACGACAACTATCATGAAATTTCTAGCAATCTGGGTTTCCGCTTTCATCGATCTTTGTTACCGCTTTCTATATTTTTCTTGGTAATTTATTTATATGTAATCTAAATTTGTGTATCACTTCTTTGTTTCGTCATTTATTTGTCTTTCTGT